CAGCGGCATATTTACTTTATTTTTTTACATTATTCCGAATCGATCTCGAAATGATGATAAATGTGCTTTTGGTTGCCACGTTGAAAATTCCACCAAGAATTGACGTTAAATGTTTATTATCAATTTCAAACAGACCTTCGAAATGAGCAAAAAAGACAGACATTCAAAAAAAAAATCGCAATTTGCTGCAGCGAAAAACATGAAAAATGTGTTGAAAAAAGCGCCAATAAATAACGTCCGTATCTCAATTTTGTTCGAACGTCAACACACTGACCCGATATCCATTAATCATCACACAATAAACGATATTCATTCGCTCGCTCGCACGCTCGAACAAGAAAATGAAGCATGTCTTGTGGTTGTCGACGATGTAAATAAATTGCACTTTTTTTTCTTGCAAACAACACAAAACGAAGTGCCTATCTCAATAACATCCCTTCGAGCAACGCATGAACCCACTTACAATGTAATTGAATGAATGGCATAATCTCGTTGTACATCTTAATAACATCATCTAATCAAATGAAATGTAATCTAATCTAATCGAGCAATAATTGCTTTGTCGCAACGAACGTGAAATACACTTAATAAAGTATCAACACGCATCTCCCATTGAAACGAACACAATCGGCAAACGAGGTGGGTTATTCTTTCGAAATCCTTTATACAATTAGCTTGATAAATAGCACACACAAGATTGTGGATAATGTTGTTCGTGATTTACCCATGAATGACGACGATGTTGTTGTTGTTGATGAATCAAGTGGCGATGAAAGCACTCAACACACACCCTCGTTTCTCTTCGTTTGAGCGCAGGCACTTCGTTCCGGTGGTACACGCTTCACATTGCAAAATCTAGGTTTTCCGAGCTCGAATCGATGTTTTTTTTTCTTTTTTCTTTTTTTTCAAAATGAATCGATTCAATTTTTGCAAGGAGAAGCATTTGATATTCGGTTTGGCTACTATTCAGGCATATCAGTCTAAAAGTTTTGAAGGGAATATATACGCGTCGTAGGGTTGAAGCAAAAATGTTTCATTCTATATCTTCACAACTCTTTTTTTCCACTTCTAATGTCTTTAAAAGTCTCCGCCAGAACAGTGATAAAAACCATAATCTTCGGGCTCACATGTTGAGATATAGAAAAGATAAGATGAAATCTTTGCATCGGCATTTTTGAACCAGTGAATTATTAACATGTCCACTGGACGATATCATCGTTGCGATGCATAACTTGTGAATTCATGTTGAGAGGACGGGACATGTCTATGTCTACAGATGAAATTGATCTTCAATTTGGTCGCGACAGTGAAAAAGTGCGCCTATCTCCTTTCTCCTAACGATAATTTGTTAATCAAACGAACATAATTTTATTCTGGTTGTCCTTTTTCTCGGATCATTTCATTTTATGAATTCTCGTTTTCTTTTATGCTTTTTTATTTATGGTTGCCATCACGAAACACGCATAACCATGGTAAAATATGGTTCTGTCAAAGCAAAACATTTGAATAATTGGGCAGAGTTTTTGGGTGGCGTTTCACAATGGCTCGTGTGTTTGTTCTTCGGGCCAGCATATAAAAGAAAGGTTTTAATGAACCAAAAATAAACATAAATATGGAGAGTCTGACCGAAACCTGACTGAGGAGACGAAATGTTGGACAAAACGAAGAAAAATAGGTGCTAACTTATTGAGCACTTAGGAGATAATAGTCCGAATGCAGCACCGATGTGGAGGAAAAAAATACGCGTATTAAATGTTTATTTGTTTGGACACTAGACAATAAATCGATAAATTATGGTCCTTTGTCACAGTGGTGTTCTGGCATCGGATCTACATTCGATTCTGTGTTTTTGTTTTTTGTTTATTGCGGCGGTTGTCGCCACTATTTTTCGTCGTCGTCGTCGTCGTCGTCGTTATCATCGTCCATGTTTGCCCATTTACCATTCGGGCACTCGACTGAAGTGTATCGCACATTGAACTCAATTAATTGGCATCAAGCTGTGTATTTATGATGAATATCGCATTCTAAAGATGTCATCGACGACTTTTCTCTCTCTCTCTCTCTTCCATTTCGTCGCTTCTTCGATTTCAAACATAAAAAATTGAATAAACGAAAATCATAAATTAATAATTTCATTTTGACTATTTGTTTTCTTTAAATAACATTTTATTTATGCGTTTTCGACTCGGAATGGCTAAAACAAATAATGATTTGATTAATTGAGTTCAATTTTATCGGGCAAGCACAAGAATTTCATTGAATATTGACCAATGGGTAGTGTCATTCAGTTTCAGCATGTGACGCCTTAAATATCGACGAATTATAAATCGATACGTCTGCATATTTTACACACACGCTCATCTATTTTATGTTCATTCAATGAACCATTTCAACACATGATCAATTCCAAATATTTCGATGCTATTTTTTTGTTACAATAAATTGATGAATTCACAAACAGCAAGAGAAATAAAACGACAATCGGGCGAACAATAGAAACTGTGATGGCAACGATGGTAAAAATGAGCTGCGAACCTCATCAACTGTAAATAAAACAATTGAATTCGCATAATGAAGCAAATTTGTTCCCTTACTGCTGAAGCCACAGCTAAAATGTGTAGAATAAAGGCAAAAAGCGCAAAATCTACCGTACAAAACGGTCATTTTTCATGCCAACAATTGTTTAGTTTTTCTTTAAAACCGAAGAAAAAAGATTGTGGCATTGTTCAGTTCACTTTTATAACGAACTTTCCCATAGCTTCGATGTACCCGTTTTGTTTCATTTATTTTCAAGGGAATTAATTATTTTTCCATTTCAATCCAATTTTGTTAATGTGTTCGAAGATTTTGCTGAACATTTATGTCAAGGATCGAATCATCATGATTGAAAAACAATTTCACGCCATTTTCTATTCAAGTTTGTTGAAATCCAATTTGGACTAGATCCAAATGAGGATTTTAATAGAGTGAGACGAAACTGTTTGTCAATCATTTCTGAAGGTAAGTAGTCCAATATTCCCAAAAACGATTGGATCACCGAAACAACAAAAAACCAACGCAATTTCTATTTCGCGCAAAAAAAAAACACGCGCATTGAATATGTTAGTCGATTTTATTGATCAGACCCCATTTATGCCCAAATTCATTTGCATCGTATTGTGTGCGTTGTCGTCATGTCATCTCATTACAATGACATTGCGGAACGAAGAAAACAACAGATTTTCTTAATCAAAACGAAAATT